TTCCTATGTTCTCATCCCACAGCCTATATTCTCTAAATAAATTTGGCAATCGTGCAATACTTCTACAATGACCTTGCTGAAGTTTCCTATTATTTCCTTCCTTGCCATAGGAATCATGATAATCCTCAACACTGTAGCGTTGTTTTATGTATTCCCTTACGTTTCTCCAGGTGAGTCAGCGAGAAGCTTCGTCTTTGCTGATGATTCACCATTCTTTAGAATGCCAAGTAAATGTAATCTGGCCAGAAGCCCATCCCTTAATCCCACCCAATATGGCCAATTTTCCTATCTACTTCCATCTGTATCTTTGTTTGTTTGATTGTATAAACGTCATTTAAAGAAGCATACACTTGGGGGATGATGCAACGAACGAGGGTGCCAGGCAGCTTATATAGGTGAGTTGCGCACATGGATTGGGGTTGAGGGATGAAGATGCTAAATTGGCTAAACAGAAAATTGGTCAGGAAAATTGCCCTTACTTGTCACTTTGAAATTTGTAGCTGAGTGCCTACTATGATGCTATGAAACGTCTAAGCATTTCCCAAGTCATATTTCCTAGGCTGATAATTATTATGCTTCCACGACAGAGTAAGTTTTTCATGTTCACCTTGTCGCCATGACCAAATAGTGAATTTAAGGTCAAACCAACTCTTGGTTCGATTGTCCTTTTGAGTGGCAAGACCAAGTGAGATTGAATGGCCTCGTGAGACCTATTCATATCTTTGAAAAAGAACGAAACCATCAGCCCTTCATTATCTTATTCAGCTACTGTCAGTATCGAAACATAATCATTATGAATACGTCCTCATTAGGATTGTCTATCGCTAGAGCTCAACTCGTGTGAAGCTATACGTTGTAGGAGAAGCTAAACCCGCTTGTAACGACTCGAGCACTTTTAGATTCTGATTCTACCGTGATTTGACACGATCCAGCCTGACCAAGTGTTACAGACCATCAAATACCGCCCGTGGCTCGAATAAAGTTGGATGCGGTCAAGTCAGTGCTTTTTTAGCGCCTTATCTGAATCTGGTCAAGCCCTTGGGTGGCTTGTTTAAAAGCAGCTGGTAATGAGGATTTGTCTGGTGTAGAATGGGGTTAATCAAGGCAGACTGGCTGGCAAAGGAAGGGGAGAGTTCTCAGTCTATGTCACACGGTAGCCAAGACAATAATTTACATTACTCGAGCCTAGAGTGTGCAGAGCACCCTTGTTAGCAGCCACATTTAGGCCCATTTTCCAATCCGATATGCAACTTTTCTTCAGGACGCCAACAGATGCATATTTGTCAAACATTCAACCGACTAGTGCTGGGTAAGCCGGTCGACCCGTATCGCAATGTCCAATTTTTAGGCCCCGCCGCTTCCGACGCCTTGTCGTATGGTGGTTCCGGGAGAGAATTGCAGTCGACTCGGCCTAATCTACACTCAAAAGGGCTCGTACTAAGCCTAAATTTAGTCGGATGACCTACTGCAGAACGGGGAAGTACGGCGATCTCAGTCCGCCTGACTCGAGCCTCCTTTATGGCGCCCACGTGGTACATTTCTTTTGCGATAAATTAGGTTTCTCTTCGGTCAGACTTGTGATGCCGTCTGGCTCAGATGACTGGAGTTGGCTACAAGTGCGTTTTTCTCATAAAAGCTACTCTCATAATTGCTATCTTGTGTGCATACACGCGTGCCCATATTGCAAAAAACCCACAAATAACAATTGTTCTCATCGTGAGCCGGCTTGAAAACCCTCAGGCCCAGCTAAGCCTAATGCTAGGGGGCGTAACTAATAGCGGAGTTTTCATATGCAAACGCGTTGATCTCTGCGGTACTTAACAGGTCTATTTTCGATTGTCGAAATTCTATCACTGCTCGACAAACGGCAGATGCGCCTGCCAACTATTGCCCTTTGCCTGAAATCATTGTAACACCCACAAAAATTTTTTGTATTTAAAAAAATCAAGTTTAGGCAATGTGACTGTGGTGCGTGTTATCCAAAGATTAGAAGTTTGATATCGGACTTGCTTAATTACATATTCTACTTTCACTCGGATTAAGAGGTTAGCACTATCAACCAACTTCAGAACCCTTTCCGACTCAACATTATGTAATCGACCCTTTGTTGTGGTCGAGTGCACATCAGTCTATTCGAATACCCAACTCGTTCTGATTTCATATAGGATGGATAGTTTCTTTGACCGAACTTAATCATGCGTATATTGTACAACCAGTGCCAGTGTGATCGTGTCTTCCGCCAGCATTGGACCATCGATCAAGCACATATCCAGACTTTCCGTAGGCACCGTACTCTGTAGCGTTAGTAAGCCGATTCACCATATAACAACTCGTAAAAGTAATAATGGCAGTTCCAGCCTCATCTGTCCTTAAGCCTTGGCTGGATTTAGTATCTCGACTCTAACTTTAAGAAGTATGGCGCCTGCATGTTTTCAACTGAGTTTCGGGCAAACCCTTATATCAGAATTTTTCGGGTAGCGTTATAGGTTGGCCCTTCAATATGGCGAAAATATCAATGTCTCGAGTCTGTCGAGACAATACCAGAGGGGCAATAGATTTATCACAGAATCAGAAGCAACGAACCGTTCGAATCCACTTTTACAATCGTGACTATTTATTGTAAAATACCGAAAATTAGAGTTAAGAAAAGGCATTTGCAGTCAAGCCTGGAATCAACCAGAAACTTTTTCGGTTTGGGTTCACCTGTGAAATAAGACATTAAAGGCCATAAACATATAACTGTGAGCAGAGACTGGAATAAGACTAGTAAAAAGGACTGC